GAGGCTGAGGCAGGAAGATCATAGGTTCAGTCCCACCTAGGCAATTTAGCAAGACCTTGTCTCAAAATTAAAAATACACAAACAGTGCCAGGCATGGTGGCACATACCTGTAATCCTAGCACTTAGGAAGTTAAGGCAGGAAGATTGCTGAGAGTGCAAGGCCAGCCTGAGCTACAAAGTGAGCTCCAGGCCAGACTGAACTGCATAGCAAGACCCTGTCTCAAAAAGACAAAAAAAAAGAGAGGCTGGAGATGGAGCTCAACCACAGAGCACCCCAGGGTCCAATCCTCAGCACTGTCAAAAGAAAAAGACAATTGAGCCCAGGCATCATCTCTTCCAACAAAGCTTCTCTGCTCCCACACAGTGGGTTAACTGTCCTTTCCTCAATGTTCTTTCCCCTTTTCTCAGCAGTGAAAGTGTGTTTCTATAGTCCCTTACCCCATTAGACTGTAAGCTTTAGGAAAGCAGAGATGCCTTTAAGAGGGGGTGGTCTAGAAAACATTTCCTAAACTCCCCCACCACTCCCCCACCACTCCCCCATACCGGGAATCAAACTCACGACCTTGCGTTTGCCAGGCAGGCACTATGCCACTGAGCTAAATCCCCAGCCCCGCATTTCCTAAACTCTTAAGAACTAAAGTATTACCTACTTCCGTCTGTGTGATAACCAAAGAATTATAAAACAATGCTGTGCATTGTTCTTTAGTTATTTCCCAACAAGTCTGTAAATACCTCTTTGGTCAGAAATTCTCTTTTGCTAATATTCCTACATCCATGAAGCCAGACACAGCAGAGTCATGGAGGGGTGGGGGAGGTATCTGTGTGGCTGGAGCATAACTTGTCCCAAACTCCCTCTGCCTCAGAACTGGTGGTCGAGTAGGAAGCAAAGGTTTTGATTTCAGTTAGCTATCTGAAGACAGAATGTCAGTTTAAGGCCCGCTTTTTTATTTTTTTGTCTTTTTGAGACAGGGTCTTGCTATGCAGTTCAGGCTTGCCTTGAGCTCACTTTGTAGCCCAGGCTGTCCTTGAACTCGCAACGATCCTCTTGCCTCAGCCTCTCAAGTGCTGGGATTACCAGCCACCATGCCCGCCAAGGCTGGTTTTAAAGTTGGTACAACCCTACCTATGTGCCTCAAACACAGTTTCTAAGCACAGAAGGCAGTATTGTTAGTGCTGGTTTTCTGAAACATTTTTGAGGAAAAGAAAAGGCTGATGAAGGGATGAGATATCACCTTCTAGGACTCGACTGTCCAAATGTCCAACCCTCACAGGTACTAATAAAGATAAAGGGCTCCTTACAATCAGGCTCAACTGGTTCCCCGCTGCTACTTGCCAGTCCTGTGCTCCTGCGGAATAGTGTAGCTGAATGCAAACAGCACTGCCACACCAGGCCCTACAATCACCTCCGCAATTTTTCTGTATAGCGGTTTATAAACCAATAGCCAGGTCCCTCGAGAACAGTAATCCTACCTAACACACAAGAACCACTCAAATGTGAGAAGCCTTATTGGCTTCAGCAGTACTAGCTGCTTTTGGTCCCCTTGGAAATCTCTTCTTACAACAGCCTCCCTCCCCGTCCCTCCCCATTGTCTGGGACAGAGGGGACTTTGGAGAGTATGTGCACATGCGCGCATAAAATATGCTGGGGTGGCGAGGGAAATGACAATGGTTCTGCGCAGGTACAAGACTCCAATACTGGCTGGGGGTATAGCTCAATGGCTTAAGTGCTTGCCTGGCAAGCCTGAGGTCATGAGTTCGATTCCCAGTACAAAAAAAAAAAAAAAACCCAAGACTCCAGTACACCTCCTTACAAGTCTTCAATTGGGCTTTTGGGCAGAAGTCATTGGATGTGTTAGCTCCTCATCAGTGATCAAACAATCTTAGTGATCAGCATGTGATGGTGGCACGCTGGGCTGTTTGACCCTGAGGTGCCTGCTTTATAGCATGGGCAATGTGCTCAGAAAGCAACTGTTTTTCTAACCTGGTCACACAGTAATTTGGACAACAAAAGAATACTGCAGAGACCAGCTGATGCCAAAGAGGAACTGGCATGGTAGCAGAAACTCAATCACACAGAGAGAAAATGGGTCAGTACATTCTAACTCATTGAGTGTTCAGAAACCACATTCAAGTGACTACAAATCACTGGACTCCCAGGGAAGAGCTACTTTTGGGAGGCCATGGGAGAGAAAACTGATAGGCTCAAGAATATCTTAGTGCTGGGCATGGTGACGCACGTCTGTAATCCCAGCATTTGGGAGGCTGAGGCAGGAGGATCATTGCAAGTTCAAGACCAGCCTGGGCTACAAAGTGAGCTCTAGGCCAGCCTGAACTGCGTAGCAAGACCTTGTCTCAAAAAAGTAAAAAAAAAAATCTTATCCCTTCGCATGTTATCTGCTCTGGTGACACATTCACGAGATTAAAATCAAATGTGAAGGCTCTCAAGATGTATGTATTGCCTGGTTCAACACAGAAGAGCACCTCCTTTGAGCAGATAGAGGCTTTCTAAGGACTAGCTATAAAGAACAGGGAATTACAGTCAGGCAAGGAGGCATACACCTGTGATCCCAGCATTTGAAAGGCTGAGGTAGGAGGACTGATGTGAGTTCAAGGTCAGCCTAGGCTACACAGCAAAACCCTATCTCAAAAACAAAAACAACAAACAAACAAAAGGGTGAATAACAAGTGAATTATGTCCTCTGTGATTAAATGTTAAGCCTGTAAGAGATCTCTGTATTTCCAAACTCATTAATGACTAGCTTCTTTCCCTTTTTTGCTGGTGGCAATATTAAGAACTGAACCCAGGGCCTTTGCACTGAGCTACACCCCTAGGCCTATTTTATTTTTATGCCTGTAATCCCAGCACTCAGGAGGCTGAGGCAGGAGGATCGTTGTGAATTCAAGGACAGCCTGGGCTACAAAGTGAGCTCAAGGCCAGCCTGAACTGCATAGCAAGACCCTGTCTCAAAGGAAAAAAAAAAACAACAGAGGCTTAGCTGGACATGGTGGTGCATATCTATAATCCTAGCACTTGGGAGGCTGAGGCAGGAGGACTATAATGTGTTAGAGGCCAGCCTGGGCTATACAGTGAGACTGTCTCAAAAACTTGGAAGGAAGGAAAGAAGGAAGGAAGGAAGAAAGGAAGAAACGAAGAAAGGAAGAAACGAAGAAACGAAGAAACGAAGAAACGAAGAAACGAAGAAACAAAGAAACATAAGAAAGAGTCTTGCTAAGTCACTAAGTTGCCCAGGCTAGGCTCGAACTTGCCCTTTTCTTGCCTCAGCCTCCCAGACTGCTAGAATTACAGGCATACGCCACTATGACCCACTAATAATTGGTTTCTTAACACAGCTTTCTGGGTAAAAGAGGACAGTGTCTCTCAAGCCTTGCACAAGTAGAGCCTTCGTACCTTTGATGTGAGGTCCCGATGGAAAATGCCTTTAAAGTGAAGGTAGCTGAGGCCCACTGCTATGTCATAGGCCAGTTTCACCCTCACAGTCCACGGCAAGTGCAGGTTGCTGTCCAGCAACTGTTCCAGGTTCCCAGAGTTGATATACTGCAAAATGCAAGGAAAAGCCAGCTACTATCTCAGAAGTGATTAGGTTGGTGGCAAAACCACTAGACAGTAAACGCCTGGAAGACAGAGATTATGTACTTGGTTTTTTCTTTTGTAGCACTGGGGACTGAACCAGATCCTTCACACTGAGCTGTATCTCCACCTTTTTTTTTTTTTGAAGCAGGTTCTTGCTAAATCACTAAGCTGTCTGACTGGGCTTAAACTTGCAGTCCTCTGGCCTCAGCCTCCCACAGTGCAGGAATTATAGGCATGGACTACCACATGACTCTGTAGACTTCTTTTAGTGTACTTAGTAAGTTAGCAAGAGCTTATCCTGCACCCAAGCATTTGTAGGTGCTTATACACAAAGATACTTCCTCTGAAGGATCACAGTCTAGGAAGGGATACAGAAACCTAAAATATAGTTATGAAAAGGTATGACTGCATTATGAAGTCTGAGAATAAAGTTCCTTAGTTTCAGCATGTCAGAGAAAATAAAGGAGTCAGAAAGGATGACCTGGGGCAGTGATGGCAAATTTTTTAGAGAAAAGAACCCAAAGCGCAACCCCAAACCACTTATGTATCACAAAGCACAAGTGATCATTAAACCTTTAAGTTATCATTAAACCTAAACAGTTTTAGTTTTAGTTTACTTTTTTTATTTTTTGGTACTGGGAATTGAACTCAGGACCTTGTGCTTGCCAGGCAGGTGCTGTGCCACTGAGCTATATCCCCAGCCCTAGTTTTAGTTTAGCAAAAACAACTCATACATTAACATCTTTTGTCTTAAAAGAAAAACAACATGCAAACCATATGCTCACACAGTGGGAGCAGTATGTGCACTTATAGCATTCAGGAACTTTATTTATTATGGCTAAAGTATAAGGTTAAGAGAGACAGGAAGTGGGACTGATATGGTTTGTTAAGATATATGGACTTTAGCCAGGCATTGTGGCACACACCTATAATCCCAGCACCCAGGAGGCTGAAGCAAAAGGATCACCTGTGTGAGTTCAAGGCCAGCCTGGGCTACACAGTGAGTTCAAGGTCAGCCTGTACTACATGGTGAAACCCTATCTCAAAAAAATAAAAAACTGCCAGGCGTGGTGGCGCACACCTATAATCTCAGCACTCAGGAGGCTGAGGCAGGAGGATCTCTGCGAGTTCGAGACCAGCCTGGGCTATAAGGTGAGCTCAAGGCCAGCCTGAACTGCATAGCAAGACCCTGTCTCAAAAGACAATTAATTAATTAATTAAAATAAAATAAAATAAAAAATAAAAAGACATATGGACTTTATCCTGACTCTAGGGAACAAAAAAAGCATTTTAAGCAGTGAAGCATGTTGGCCATGTTTGTTCTTTTTCCATATTTGCTTTTTTAAAAAAGATTATTTTAAAAATGGTATGATAGGTGGATTAGGGCACAGATTAGAGAAGGGGCCGCAAAAGAAGAATCCTGCACTAACCCCGGTGTGAGAAAGGCATCTGAGTTAAGGTAACAGCGGAGTTATTAGAACAAGGCAAGATTCAAAATGTATTTAGAGGGCAGAGTAAAACAAAGCCCGTGACTGCAATGGGTTAGGGATGGAGCAATGGAAAGGTCTAGGATGGCCCCAGGCTACTGGTTTCTGGGTGTCATCATTAAATATCTATGAGACAGGGAAAGGAGCAGGTTTTAGGAGAAGGCGGTTAGAAGTTAGCGAGGTCAGCAAGGGCACACTGAATTACAGGTGCTTGGAGGACAACTAAGCTTTAGCAGACATGACCCTTCACCAGCTTAAAGTTTAGGAGCAGAGTGTGGGCAGGATATATTATACTTAGGAGGCAACAACATTGAGCTGAGGAGTCACTGTTGCTGAGTACTATAGGAAACTGCCTGGGAGTTAAGACATAAGGTAAGAGATCGGAACCCCAAGAAGCAGTCAAATTTAAAGAAAAAGGCAGAAGAAAAAAGCAAGAAAGTCGCCCTAAGAGGTAAGAGAATTCTGAAAAGGAAATAACCAACAGCATCAAACGCTACAGATCAAGTGAGATGTGGTAGAAAACGTCCTCTAAATCTGCAAGCATGGCCAGAGCAGTTCAGGGAAGGGATTAAGACCAGAGTGAGAGTGACGTGACCTGCAGAGTGAATCAAAGATAACGCTGGGGGAAAGACGACATGAAAATGTGCTCTTCCAAGAAATGCGGTTGTGTGTCATTCCTATACACCCGTGAAGCACTCTCTGCTTTATATAAACTGTAAATGTATTTACATATCAACAAGGACAACAGCTACTACTTTTGCAGCTAATACATGTATTTACACAGTGCTTATAGTGTTCCAGGCACTAGCCTAAGCATTTTATGTATATTATCTTATTTAATCTGTACAGCAACTCTATGAGGTAGGTGTACTACAGGTTGAATATCCCTGATCTGAAATGCTTGGGACCAGAAGAGTTTTAGATTACAGAGTTTTTCTAATTTCAGAATTTCTGCAAAACTTCATCCATATTACTCTCATTTTATAGAAAGCATTTAAAGGTTAAGCATTTTGCTCCAGGATACTCAATAAGTGGCACAGAAAGGCAGACAATACAGCTTGGCTCAAAAGCACTGAACACCACAGCATCTGAGTCAGAGAGCCTCATCCAGAAAGGAACTTACAAATAAATTTATGCGAGGCGTGGTGGCACAGGCCTATAATCCCATCACTCGGGAGGCTGAGGCACGAGGATCATTGTGAGTTTGAGACCAGCCTGGGCTACAAAGTAAGCTCAAGGCCAGCCTGAACTGCATAGCGAGACCCTGTCTCAAAAAGGCCCAAAAAAAAATTAATTAATTAATTCACTAGCCGGGTATGGCGGCGCACACCTGCAATCCCAGCAGTTGGGAGGCAGAGGCAGGAGGATCACCATGAGTTTGAGGCCAGCTTGGACTACATAGTTGAGAAGCTGCTTCAAAAAAGTAAAAATAAATAAATTTACTTAAACCTTACATGACGTATTATCTCCTTCTTTCAAGGGATAAAGGGGGAAATTTCTCTAAGTATAAAATTAATCTCAATACACTTTAGGGAGAGATGTTGAATTTACAAAGGACTAGGACACCTAACAGAATAAGAGGCGGGAGTTTGAATTATAGTCCGATTTTACCTCCTCATACCATTTAACTACGGACAGGTCAGCTGAAAATGATGTATACTGTTCAGTTTTCCCATCTATCAGGTATGATAACCCCCTGGATCTGCCTAACTCACACTGTTATTATAAGAAACGAAAAAAATATATGAAAGTGCTCAGAACAAAACTTAATGTCGTAGGAGCTGAGATTTTCCCACTGGGTAAGACAAGCACTGAAAGGAGCCAGTTGGGGGCAGCACCACGCAGCACATCAGATCCCTGTATCCCGCAGGTCAGGGTTCCCGAGGCAGGGAGAATGGCTGAAAATATACCTTCCAACGTCTAAAGGGGAAGCCTGTTGATTTACTTCATTCTGCCTGATTATCCACCTTTGGAAATCTCAAAATAGTCCATAACGAAGGCAGCAGCATAACGCCTTCTTTTTATTCTATTTGAATCTGCCCAAAAATTCACATTTGAGGTGTCCACTTGCTGAAAAGAAACTGAACTTGCAAACTCTAAGCTATATGGGCACCAAAGCGGCTTCTGCCAGGCAGGCAAATTTCCTTAGCTTTGAGATTTAGAACATCTGAAGGGGCAGCGGTCCCGTCGCCGGCGTGGAAGGCCGGTGTTCCCTCGCTCGGTGCCAGGCGGAGGCAGCACAGCTAAGAGCAGAGCACCTGCGCACGCCCTGAGGGCCTCGGGCCGTGACTTGGAACTGAAATGTGCCTGGGAAGGCTCATGCGCTGACACGGGGCTGCTGGAAGGCGACCAGACAGTGAAGGCTCCAACCTCACCAATACTCACCCACTGAGCTGCTGAGCTCACCGGCTTATTGGGAGGAGGATCCCAACTGGATGGGGGTGCGTCCCTGGGGAGTGAGGCTTTGAAGGGTACATTTTGTCCCTGGCCCCTTCCTGGTTCTTTTTTTAGGGGGGCGGTGGGGGAACGGGGAATCAAACTCAGGACCTTGCACTTGCCAGGCAGGCACTTGTGCCGCTGAGTTATATCCCCGGCCCCCTTCCTGGTTCTGCCTGCTTCCTAGTTGCCATGAAATGAGCAGCGTTCCTCAGCGATGCCCTTCTGGCACAGCACTTCTGCCCCGCCACGCGCCTCAAGGCAACGGGGCCACGTGACCAGAGGCCGAAACCTCTGAAATCATGAGTCAAACAAAATCTTCTCAATTGTTTCTTTCACGTATTTTGTCACACCAATCTAAAGCTGACTAACACACCTGGTAAAGCGAACGCCTTTGATTCTGACTCAGAAAAATACACAGGTAAGGCAGGCATGTGGTGCACGGTGGCGCAGACGGGTAATCTCGGCACTCAGGAGTCCAAGGCAGGAGGCAGCAATATCAGGGCAAGCTCAAGGCCAGCCTGAACTATCTAAGAGACCCTGTATACTCGCACGCACGCATGCACACACCCTGTTCAGCAATGTCTCTGAAGGCCTAAGAGATCTACAGGCTAGGCCAGAAAGTAGAAAGTGTGAAAAAAAAAAGGTGAGATAAGAGGAGGAATCATGCTGACTAATAGACTCTGGCTTTTACAGGCGAGATAAGATGGAGAAAGCACAAAGCAGTACCAGAGGGAGAAGCCAAATTTACAACCTTCTTTTTACAACCTGTTTTTTAAAACCCATTTCTCTTACTGCTGTTGGTGAAGCACTGGCACCGCCGAGAAGCCTCTGGACCCCCAGAAACCACAACTTCTCCCTGTCCCAAGACCTCTGCACATCTGCAGAAAGGAAGTTTGAAATCCGCCAACAAGGAAGATTTCTAGGTTGCTCCACGCTATGTGCCCATTAGCTAGAGCGGTCACTTCCCCATAACCAGCTCTCGGTGCAGGCTCAGCTGCGGGGCCTCTGAGCAAATCGCTCGGCAGGAAGCAAAGCCCA